TTCTGAATGTGTTCATTTAGAAAATTCAGAACAATGTTAACTAATGGTAGTCATATGTTTTTGTCCTGCTTCTGATTTTTAAGGTGACGGTTACACCATTTACAACCACAACAGTTATGCTAATATATTAATGATAATATATTAATAAAATGTCAACTTGCATTTAAAAACAAAACAAAACAAAAACAGTCGATCTGCCAGTCATCTCCATGGACTTCTGCACCCCATCCCATACCCTTCTTCACCTGGGGTCCCCTTCTAGTTTTCCCCTGCCTCCCAGGCTCCTGACCTTCGCTCCCAGCACCCTGTCTCCAAAATATAAGCTGGATCCCCTTGGCCTTCTGAATCTCCCAGTGGCTCCAGGTTTCCCAAGACCACTTCCTTGTGGGCTTCCAAAATAACCTTCATCATTTCCCCAGTCTATCACCCTCCTCCCCTGCTCCCATACACCCACAGTTTGTTTCTTTCCCTGTAAAAATCTTCACTGCCTCAATTTCTGGTTCACCTAACTCTTGTCACTATATCTTGAGGCATGAAACCTCAACTGTTGGAATTGCAGGCAAGGAGTGACTGCCTCTAAGCCATTGTTTTTTACATAGTGATTTTTTTCTGTAGCATTTTGACCTAAGATTTCAGCAATTTGAACACTAATTCCTCCCCTCCTGGCTCAAGAATTACTCCGAAGTCAGTCTGCAGAAAATAAATATTTAATATGACATAAAAAATGCATATCTGCTTGAAGTTGGACCTAAGTGGTCTGTCGCAGTCCAAATTTATAGCATACATAAGTTTGCATGTCATAAAATAACATAGTACAATTTATAATAAAACTGAGAATTTAATATCTAATCAAAATACAATAAAATATGATTTTCAAATATGATTATTTCAGCTTTCCCTTTACTTGAGGGCATGTAAGCCAAAAATACTCAAACTATGGCTATACATTTAAACTTTAACAAAGCATATTTGGTTTATTTTAATGTAACTCAACCATTCTAAATTGATACATAGTTTTCCTTCCTGCACAGTTCTTTGTAATTGTTGTTCCTTTTGACTTGTATTTCTGTTTCAACACAGCTTTCTTCTTCATTTTCACCTCTTTCCATTTGCAAAGTCATCTATCTCCAGGTCCCCAGAACATGTAGTTGAATTCACTCACCTCTTTAACATCAGTTTCTGTAATCCTTGCGTCAGCGTAGGGAGTAACTGCTTGAGTAATTACAAAGGTATTTCAAAAACTTCAGTGCAATTTGGTTCAGTTATTTTCATTCAGATGCCATCACCGTTCAGGGAGATTAATCACTGGAACCCACTGATCCAGTGGTCTGGATGTCAGCATGAATACAAATCGTAAAGCTGTGAAAATGACCCTGAAGAACAAAGAAACTGTACAGCTGGAAACACTGAGTATTGGAAGAAATAACATTTGATATTTTATTCTACCATACGGTTTACCTCTGGATACACGACTTGTGGATGGTGAACCTAAGGTGAAATCTAAGAAAAGGGAAGCTGTTGCAGGAAGAGGCTGAGGCAGAAGAAGAGGAAGAAGACGTGGCCATGGCAGAAGAAGAGGGGGTCCTAGGCGACAATGTCTTTCAAGATTACTGTTCCAAAGTGACATGGGATTTGGGTTATTTTTTGTACAGGTTGTGTTTGTTTATGTCAGTTTTTAATAAGCATAAATGTGGAACAGTTGTCTATTCAGTACATTTTTTTTTTACAGAAGTTTTTTATTGATCGAAATGAAAGACATTTTCTGAACTGCTAGTTACCATTTCAGGGCTTCAGAAAGACTGAGATATCAGCATTTAACAAGATACTAAGTGAACAAGAGATCACTAAATAAAACTTATACAAAATGAGGCATGCATGAGTTCATAGGTAATGGCTTTTATATTATCTTTGACATAATTCTTAATTTTATATCACTACTGCATATTTATTACAGCATTTCTAAACATAATTAGAAAAAATAAACAGAGAAACAATCTTGGTACCTCATAATTTAGACCATAAGATATCAGAACAAATACAGCCACCAATTATCCATCTTAAATACTGTATACATTTAACAGAAATAATAATACATGAAAAATTATTCAAATTTGAATTTAAAAGGAACAAATCATTAGTGAGGAAAGCAAAATGTTTTTAACATATTATAACACTTCCACCTGAGAAGCATAGCTGCTCAGATGACTTGAATATATAGCCTAGGCTTCCTAATATTTTAAACATATTCTCCCATCTACTCCTTAAAGAAAAGTTTACAGTGCTTGCATATACCAATACTGAATTCATACATCTGACAGTTTGCCTGAACAACTACATTCTGAAAAGCATACATGTTTTAAGCTGTGTGACAGTGATAACCAGAAAACAAAACACAATTCTGCATCTGGTGGAGCTGAAATCAGGTCTCTTCAATTCAGCAGATCCAAATTCTGAAGGAATATTTTCCACAAACTTTTGGACAGTATTGACATGTGAGTAAAAACAATCAGACTCTATTAAATGATGAAAAAATACCCAGGGTGCACTTGAAAGATTGGAAGAAATGGAAGAACAACTGAATTCTCTGCAAATTGGAAAAACATAAATCACCTAGGTATGTGAATTATATCAAGAAAGTTGATACCGTTTCTGGTCTTTACATTCCAAAACAAGTAAGTACTATCTTCTACAGAGAGATAAGAGGGCTGTTTTCTTGCCTACCTACTCATTTTAATGTTCTTGTTTCACTTAATGACAATCATCGCAAAGAACATTTCAGTCTATTTTAGTCCAGTTGTGGTAATATAAAATCAATTCATTCTTAAGGAAAACAATGTCAATTTGTTGGAGATATAAGCATGAAAATCCTACCTTTCAAGATATGATGATATTAGTTATTACAGATTCAGTAATTATCCATGCATCCATTTGGATATGTTAAAATTATATATTTGACTATAATCCTCAATACAGATTTTTTTACATTGGCCAATGCCCTTCATGGAACATTGCTGAAGTGAATTAGGCCCTTAGAGGTACAAATGGCAGTGTTACACAGATAATGCCTGAATGTATTTCATTTTTGCAGTAGACCACTTCAGTGATTTTTCTTTCATCTAACTAGATATGCCACAAAAGCTCAGATACCTACACTGATAGAAATTAGCTTGAAATAAGATGCAGAAAAGAACAATAAGCATGCTTCAAAGGTGGTTGCATTTGCAAAGTGAAACTAAGTATTAACATCAATAAATTGATGTAATAGAAATTGCAGTGTTTTGTCGTTTATTTTTGCTTCATTGCAAACATTCAGGAGAGAGTGATCCTGGGAAAGCAAAACAGGCTAAAGACACTCTGGAAATGGCATGATTTAACTTATTGCTGGAATACTGCAACTGGAGTAGAGAATAAAGTATTCTCCAGAAGAGAGATGTATCTTACGAGATGTCTGATATATCTTTAAAAGAAAGAAATAATTTAAGTTCCTCATTTCTGTCTTCTCATTGACCTGATTTTTATTATAACCTATTTTTGGCATTCCATTTAGTTATTTGTGAAATTGCTAAATGGTGACCTTGGCACAGAATGCCTGACATTCTTTTAAGTGTTTAACTCTAGTTTCTAACCCCAACTCAATATGCCTATCCTCTACATTGCTACTGAAGCAGTAAAAATACAATGAAATGTACAGACCATTAGTTTCATTCTAAATGCTCTTAGCTTCCCTGGAGACTTCAAATTCTTCACAAATTTCCAGAGTTCCAGAACAAATACTTTAACAGAATATTAACCTAAGGAAAGCAGATGGGTCCTTTGGTCGAACATTAAATGATGCCCCGTTGAGTTTAAATAGTTCAGTGTAATGTATTTTATGACTATTTCTTCAAAATGAATATCCTGAGTTAAAACAAAGCCAAACCCCTAAGGGGAGCTGCTGTGACTGTGTTTCTGCACTTGTCTGTAGGTCAGGAACAAGTGAGAAGTGATTAAACTGTCTACCTACCACTTTTTTTGTTTTGTTTTGGAGGGGGTGGTATATTAATTTCTTAGGGTTGCCATAACAATTTACCACAAACTTCCTGGTTTAAAATATCAGAAATTTATTCTTTCATAGTTCTAGAGGCTAGAATTCTGCAGTCAAGGTTTTGACAAGGTTGGCTTCCTCTGGATGATCTGAGGGGAATCTGTTCCATGTACGGTTTCTGGGGGCTGCTGGTCATCAATGGCATTCTTTTACTTGTAGATGCATCCCTTCAATCTCTATCTCCGTTGTCACAGATAGTCTCCCTGTGTGCCTCTCTAAATGTTCACATGACCTTCTTATAAGGACACCAGTCTTTGGGTTTAGGGCCCATTCTAAAGCAGTATGACCTCATCTTAACTAACTACATCTTCAAAGACCCTATTTCCCAAAAAGATCCTATGCTGAAGTTCCTGGTAGACATAAATTTTGAGGAATGTTATTCAACCCAGTACAGAGAGGGGCAGTTTCAAATAAACTTGTCTTATTTTGATGGAGTTTTGAGGTAAACATTATTATTATTAGTGTTCAATGTCACCAGTTCTCCTCACCTTTTTGTATTAGGGAAACTACATTTCCTAGCCCCTTTGCATTGCATGGGACTTTGCGATTCGTCTTGCACAGTGGTCCAAGACCGGGAGTTAAAAGACTTACTTTGGCTGGGCACGCTCACACCTATAATCCCAGCACTTTGGGACGCAGAGGCGGGCAGATCACAAGGTCAGGAAATCGAGACCATCCTGGCTAACACAGCGAAACCCCGTCTCTACTAAAAATATAAAAAAAATTAGTCAGGTGTGGCGGTGGGTGCCTGTAGTCTCAGTTACTCGAGAGGCTGAAGCAGGAGAATGGGATGAACCTGGGAGGTGGACCTTGCAGTGAGCTGAGATCGTGCCACTGCACTCCAGCCTGGGTGACACAGTGAGACTCTGTCTCAAAAAAAAAAAAAAAAAAAAAAAAAAGACTTACTTTGAGACTTAGCTGCTGAGGAGCTGATGTGGGTGTCTCCATGATTATTTCTGTTCCAGTGATGCCAGAAACTGGGTGTTGAGAAGGAAATGCCACACATCAATGTTACCTGGACAGTGGCCTTTATCTGAGTGAGAAATAAACTTTTGTTATTATGACACTGTGATATTGGTGGTATTTATTACCAAAGTAAAATATAGACAACTCTGACTAATTAAGCTTCTTTAAACCGCAAACCATCTTTTAATATGAGTTTATAGCTCACAGATTAATCAGTTAGTCTAAACTTGGAGCCTATATGGTCTTAGCTCAAAATTTTTATTCCAAACATTTAAGTTTCCTCTTGTTTCCTAAAAATTTGATTCCATTTACAATTATTTGTTGAACACATTTATACTGAGGACTCTGTACACATATACATTAGAACATGTTCGATTTATATTATCTTTGACACTTGAATATGGGTAAATAAAGCCAGATTGTTGCTGAACTCTTGAAAAAGCTATTTGTGTTAAGAGAGTTGTGACATGAATTTTTGTCATTTAACTATTATAAAATTCCCAGTGGTACTCCACTGGCAGAAAATAAGACTTTAAAAAATGGTGTTTCTGTGTCAAACAAAAATTTGGTGAGCTGTGCTTTAAACTCTAGAACTTAGCTTCAAAGTAAAAGCTTTTATTATTGAAAATAAAAATGGTAATCAATAGACAATCTTACAGTGGCTACAAAGAATTCTGTGACATTTCAGACATATGTTCAACTTCCATCTCCATGATGAGTTTATTTTGAGTCTATTTATATACAGTTCATCTGAAGGGCAAAAATGAGAAGTTATATCCAAATGGCAGGGGTCCAAAACTGATGTCAGCTAAGCAACAATATTATGTGTAATATAACCCCCGCTGGGGTGTCTGAAGATCTTACTAGAATGTTACATAAAAACTCGGTGTTAAAACACAATAGAGAAACTAATTTAAAGTGGAAAGAATGCAATTGTTCCCCAACAAGAATGAAGTAGAAAATGCTTCAAACAGGTTGAAGGGCAGTGTTCGTTGACCTGAATATGCTGATCCATGGTGGAGTTGAATCTGACACAGCATAGAAAATAGTCTGGGCTGAGCTCCCTCTCTAAAGCTGCCTGGCTAAATGGCTTTGTTACAGTGTCATGAGGCAGAATGTCAAGGGTGACCCTCTGCCATGAAATGTTCTTCATTTCAAAGGTCCCTCAGGAAATCCCTGTGTGCTCACTGGCATGGGTGATCAGGAAAGGATCAAGGTCTTCTAGAGGTTGTGAAACCAATCTGGTCTCTTGGCGTCTTTCAGTACGGGATGACCTCAAGCTCAATGAGATATGATATTGCTCTTAACTCAATTCTCAGCGACTGTGGACTTGGAGAGTTCATCTGGGCGTCCTTCATGTCATACTCACAGTCTTGAAATTTAGCCCAAATTCTATTCATTCAATAAATGTTTCTTGGCTATTTGCCATGTTCCAATTTTTTTTTAGGCTTGATTGTGCAATGATGAACAAGGCAGATGTGGTCTGTATCCTTCTGGGACTCACAGTCAAATGGGAAGAGTAGGCATTGCATAAAGAATAAAATAGATAACAATTATTGTGATTTATGAATGCTTTCATGAAAGATAAGTATGATAAATGATAAAGTCCTCTATATCTCCTCAACTCATGACACCTTGGTAATTTGAGAGGCCTCCTTTTAAACTGCATATAGAAGATCATTAGTTTCCTTAGTCTTCTTTTTCCTGTGAACGTAAACAGTTTTGGCACTTTGAAGTTTTAACTGCTACTATTGAAGATGTGTGATTTGTTTTTCTGTTAAATCTGCTGTTAGTCCTAGCAAACATCATCTTTTCCAGAAGAAATGGAATTCTGCCACATAACCCTGTAATCCAGTCCCATCTCCAGTCAAAGTATAATATTTTTTCCAAAGTCCTACAGACCAGGACCATATGTCATATATCTTTACATCCCTGATAGCACTGAACTGAATGCTTGTCATACTGATACATCAAGAAGATACTGATAGGTGTTGACTAGATGAGGGGGCATTAAAAACTCTATGTTTTATATAAAATGATGGCTTATGAAAAGAAAAAGTAACAGGTATGTGGAGGAAAGTATCTGACTTCATGTCCTTGAGAGTAACTCAGTAAAAAGTGGTATTTTCACAAATGTTGAAATACTTTCAAACCATTTAAAGGTGTCAATTAAGAACTTAACTTTCTGCTAACTTGAGGGATTTTAACTGCTTATTGTTGGCAACTTTTTTTTTTTTTTTTTTTTTGAGACATGGTCTCCTTGTGTTTCCTAGGCCGCAGTGCAGTGGCTATTTGCAGGCATGGTCATAGTGCACTATGTCGTTGAAACCTTGGGTTTAGTAATCCTTCTCTTGCCTCAGCTTTCTGAGTAGCTGGGACCACAGGCATGTGCCACCATCCCCAGCTGTGCTGATAACATTTAAATTCACATTGATTATCATGGAAAAGAAGTTTAATGAGCTACTGTTGTTCAGATACACAGATTTGAAAATGCCTAGATAAGTGAAATCTGTCCTGTTATGTCACATAGGACTTGAACTTTTATTATTTTTTGTTGTTGTTGTTGCTTGTTTTGAGACGGAGTCCCCTTTATCACCAGGCTGGAGTGCAGTGGCTCAATCTTGGCTCACTGCAACCTCTGCCTCCCTGGTTCAAGCTATTCTCCTGCCTCGGCCTCCCAAGTAGCTGGGACTACAGGCACGCACACCACACCCAGTTAATATTTGTATTTTTAGTAGAAACGGGGTTTCGCCATGTTGGACAGGATGGTCTTGACCTCTTGACCTCATATTCTGCCTGCCTTGGCCTCCCAAAGTGCTGGGATTACAGGCACAAGTCACCACACCCGGCCGAACTTTTATCATTTTTGATATAAATTGTTTTCATTATTCTAAATGAAATTATAACCTGCTTAACAGTAATAGTCTTATCCTAAGGCCACTCAGAGATGTCTTGTTAATCTCTCTGAATTCCTGACTCCCACTGCTCTAGCTCGAACACTGTCCACATTACATTTTCTTTGACTCACCTATGTCTTGAATCATCGGACCCAAGAGAACTCTCAGTTCCCACTTAGTGTTCCAGACAATCACTCAAGACTCTTGTATTCTCTGCTGAACTCTGATCCCATCTCTATTTTCCCTTCACCTTAAAGTACTGCCAACTGAAAAGTAATCCCTATTTGTAGCACTTTGGATTCTCTGTATTTGGATGTCAATTTTTCCTCTTTCAAGTCTGACCTGACTCATTCAGTTAGGACCTAGAATATCCCGTTATTGTGTGGGGCAAATGCCAGAAATAAACTCAGCCACAGGAAAAATAATCATTGCCTCTCAACTGCCCACAGGCCAGCCTAGCACCCATTCCTATGAGAAAAAAGAATCTAGAAATTTAATTCTAAATTTTTATCTTATCCCCATGGCTTCCTAAAACTGTTTCACCCTGGTGCCTGCTAGCCTTTGGCAATTTTTAACTTTTTTGCCAGATAAATGTTTCCCAATTGACACAGAGCACTGTCTGTCTACTTCCTGCACCCTTTGGCACTGACTTTGTTGTATCTGTTCCTACGTCTATGTTTGCTTTGACCTTGGTATTTATGAGATATTTGACCCTTGGCTGTGATCTGATTATCTTATTTCTCTTCTGTGGTTCTTCCTTTGACTTTTCCAGGAGTTTTTCAGATCTGATGACCTGTTTGTCTCTGTTCTCCGCTGATTTTTATAGTGTTGGCACTGCAAGATAATTACCATTGTTAAATAAGGGTTTGTCTTGGAACTTGTGGTACCCAGAAATTATGATCAGATATATTAAATTCTTACCATACTTTCCAAGAAACCCGGTGTGTTCTTTAAACCATTTGAGTTTAAAGATGTAAAACTCCTCCTGGTTTATGGCCCAGCTCTATTAGTGATGGTTAATCATAATGAGAGGCTGAATAAAAACTAGAACATTGCTTAGAATTTAAGTTAAAATGGGAAAACAAATCTCTCCAGGTTACTAAGGGGGATTTACTTTTCCAAATGCTCTGCAGGTAGCTTAAACTCAACATATACAGCTGGGGTAATGTTTTTAAAAAATTATGGATGTGCTTTTTTATTTTATCTTTCACAGTACAAGACCATTGTCTTAGTCTGCCCGAGGCAACAATATGCCTGAGGAAGATTAGGATTTGTTACAGTAGAAATGCAAACAGAAAGCACCCAAACAATAAAAATGAGAAAGGATAAATAAGTAAGATGGAAGAAAGGCTTCGCGGGGTTGAGGTTGGTTCTGGCGGTTTGCCTCCAGAATGATAAATCAGATTGTTAGCTGTTCTCTAGAGAGGAGTTCCATTATTTTTTATATTCCTCATATTTGCAAATAAATAATCCATCTTGGAGCAGTCAATTCAGAGCTCCTGTATAATTTAAAGAGCATAACCCTGCTCTCTGTGAAGTCTTGTCCCATGGATTCTGGAAAGAAGAAAGAGACAGAGAGAGTAGAATGAAACCATTAATTATAGGTGCACATTTTCCTTTCTCTGGGCTCTGGACAAGAGATATGTGGTGGAAAAAGAGAGAGAATACTAGCAAAGTCAGACAGAGACCCCTGTTTTCCATTTGGGACTTCAGGAGAAGGAGGATACTTGCAGGGGGTCTGTAAAACACTGATGTAGAATCACTTCAAGATGTGTCAGTATAGCCTGTTAAGGTAAAAAAGTGGTCCCAAGTGTGGCTTTTCTAAGGCACCCTTGGTTCCCTATAGATCTTGCCAGAAGAAGGTCATTATTGATGAAATAAAGTGATTCCCAAATAAGGACTGAAGGGAGGACCACCCCAACCAGGGCCAAATAAGGTTTGCAGGTAGGCCTCTGAGGTTTCTACAGCAAGATTTGTGGTGAAGGTAGTGAGGTATGAATTTCACAAGCAGCAGTGTTTGTGCCAGGGCATGGCCTTTGAGATGTGTTAGTCATAGGCTTTCAGCATCAGAAGAGAGCAAAGCAATCAGAATCCAGGAGGACAAAGGGTGCTATTGAACCACCGAGGAGTAAGAGCAAGACACCATAAGCATCAGAGGAGTCAGTATTTC